CAACACTCAACCCTTTCCCTCGTTGGTAATCAATCACCGCGTGTCTGGTGATCTTGGAAATATTGGCAGTATAAGGATCGGGGGGATTTTCTCCCTCGGCCTTATCAAACTTAATCCCGGTAGATAATTCAGCCACCTTCACCTTTGCCTTGAGGTCCTTGATCTCCCGATCGCGACGACGGATCCTGCCCTCCATTATCTCCGCCAGCTCGGTCGTTGCCTTTTCACCCTTGTTGGCATGATCCTGCAAATCTGCGGCCAGCTTACGAGAAACATCTAGAAGGATCTAGCTATCATCCCGATCATTTTCCAGAAGCTTCATCTCCCGATCGGCCGCCAGGAAAGCCCGGTGGTAATATACACCGGTCTACAAGAACGGCAGACAGGATCAGATGAGATCTAAGGAAGTTCAAAAGATGTAAATAAAATTTAAAAAGGATCATACCTTGAGGGCCTCAAGGTGACCTGCCTCGACCAGGTCAGACCAATGAGTCAAGTTGGAAAAACTGGGGGGTCTTCAAGGAGGTGTTGCACTACATGGAGGATCGCATTTGCCCGAATAGATACCTCCTCTCTGAACGAGGCCCCATATTGGAGAACTCCACAAACATCCGATCATCGACCGTCATGATAGTAAGAACTTGATCCCCTAACTTGGCGGATGAGATGGTAGGCTTCTTGGGCTCAGTCTCTGGACCGGTTAAATCAACTATAAGATCAATCGGGACAAGGTTGGTGTTTTCATCTCCCCGGCGCCTCTCCCGGGATTGTTCAGCGTCACTCGGGTTTTCAACAATTAATTTCTCCTTACCTTTCCCAATGGAGGCCGTCGAAGTAGGGACAACTGTGGGGTGCCAAGCGTCAACAGGAGGGATCACACCTACAAAAGAAGAAAACAAAGCTAAGGAATAGAATGGAACGAAGATTGATCGGGCTTAAACAAGCGAACTTACCAATTCCAGCAGCCAACATTTTGAAAGGGGTAATGTAGGACCGAAGGTTCCGGGAACCCCCTGAACGGAGCGAGTCGTATTGGGAGAGCAGATGTGCATCCAAAACAGGTTCAGTATCCCGAACCGGGTAGGCATTCCACCGATCGAGGAATGGGAGCGGCTCGCCGACACGAACAAAGAAATACCGTTCCTCCTGGTTGGTTGCCACAGTAGGGTTCTCCGTGAATAACTAGCGCCTAGGCCGAGCCACTAACTTCAAGTACCCAGTAGTCCAGTAAGGCTGATAACAATAGTGGTGTAGAAATAAATCAACGTTCAGGACAATGCCCAGATCGTGACACTGAATGATAAAGCCGTTCAGGATTCAGTAGGTGCTAGGCACAACCTGAGCTGGAAGCACAGAGATCCGGCGCAGGAATTCCACAATAAATGGATGAAAGGGGAAACGAAGCCCAGCGGCCAAAGAATTAAGATGCACTAGCACGTGCCCCGGACGGTGCCTCATTGGGTGCTTAATAAACCCCGCATAAAATTCCCTAGGGGGAGGCAAAAAATGGTGAATCTGTCGTTCGGCATCCTCAGGAAGGCGTTGGCATTACCTTCGAATACGGTGGAAGTGCAAAGGGATGTGAGATGGCCGTTTGGGCATCCCCTTATGATAGATGGCAACATCATCACCCGAAGAACACCCATCATCTGGGAGAGGTTGTTCGGGTTGGTGCGACACAGGAGGATTGGTGGAGTCAGGTACTTGGGATGAGGAACCCCCGGCCTTATCAACAACGGAATTCTTCCCTCTGGGACGACGAATGAGCGGCTTATCTTCAGAGTCTGAACCGGAGGAAAGTGACATAAAAGGGCACGATACCTCAAGGGAGCCTAAAGATTCTAGAGAGAGAGAGAGTTGATAGAGAAATAAGAAAGGATTGAAGAAACCGCAGAAAAATGAGAAGGAAGCACCTATCTTCTTATGGAAGAGAGTGCCGCCCAAAACCCGGAATCCATGAGGGACACGTGGCAGGATGTGGTTGCGAGCAATCATGCCGTATTTATGATTACACTAGCATGTGCCCCGAACGGTGTACGTATCAATGGTGGCAATGAACATCCTGAAACATGGTTAATACAAGCTTTTATGATTACACCAAGCAGAAGGATTAGAAAATCACCCAAACGGGTAATATTGAAGAACAAAAAAGAAAAGAGAGAGACTTATCTTCCAGAAAGTCTCACCTCAGCTATTAACATGCAAAATCATTCCGGATGAACGAATGAGGAACGCGTTAACAGTTTGGACGGAGCCATCATATTAGCTGAGTTTGGACCTTGCCGTAGCCAAGCAAAGGATTCCAAACGGTTTAAAGGTGATGTCAAAATCTATAAGTATGAACGAAACGAGCGGCATTCGTTAACATGACCCGAACAGGAGGATGAGATCCAAGCTAATGATGTGGATGTCTCCATTTTAGCTATAGGCATGAAATAACCCGAACAGGAGGGTGAGATCCAAGCTAATGATGTGGATGTCATTTTAGCTATAGGAAGGAAATAACCGGAATAGGAAATCCTACCTATAGTTTGAAAGTGGACACCTCAAACCCTTAGTATGGATGATCCGGATCGGAGAAAACCGAACGGATTAAGCATCTGAAATGGATTAAGTCCTATAAATTGGCCGAATCCCGAAGGGCAACACAAAAATAAAATAAAGGTAGTAGACAAAAAGATAAGTTTATATTCATCGGCTCTACCGGCTAGGAGGTGCGGTGATCTTGAGTCTGAGCAAAAAAGTTACAAGGAGGACTCAGGCTCCCTGCCAGCTTCCCGATCGGTAACACGTCTCATCTCCCGCTCGTACTGCTCAAATTGAGCTTTAACAATGTCAACTTGTGGAAGATCGGAAGCCTAGACTGGTCTCCCAAGTTGCTGATGCAGTTGGGCCACAAAAGGCCGTAAAATATGCTAACAGTCCTTAACATAGAGATCCCCAACAAAGGAATCATTCCATTGCTTGCCCTGAGGGTCATGTCAAGGAGTTTCACTCCAGCCCTACGCTGCTCAACGCCCTTGGGAAACTACCTTAGATAAGCCCCAAAGACGGTTGGGAGTTGCTGCCTGGCGTACTCCTCCTTAATGGCGGAGAATTCATCAGAAGATTTGAACGCCTCCCGAACGGTGGATAGATCAACCTTCACCTCAGCGGGACCGTCCGGGATGCAGGGGGGCATCTCTTCGAACTTAACCCGAGCGGCCTCTGCAGCAAAGACTTTAGCTTGGAAAGCGGCCAACTGAACCCGAAGCTCGCCCAGCTCACCCTCTAACCTCTGTTTTTGCTCTCCAAAAGCCCTTCGTTCAGCCTCAGCAGCAGTGGTGGTGGCAGCGGCAGCCTGGTTTGAGCGATGATCAGATCCCGCTCCTTGGCCAGGCGGGCCTCCCTCAGCTGCAAGCTGTACAGTCCCATCTACAGGATCCCGTTCGGGGATAGAAGATGAGATACTGAATGAATGATAACATATGAGATAAAATACAGGGAAAACAAAGTACCTTCAAAGCCGTTAAAGCCACACATTCTTCTGCCCGATCGACCGGCAGAGTGGGGAACGGAAAATTATTGAAATAAGCAGAGGTAGACCAAACTTGGCTCGTGGCAGAGCCAGCCTTTTCCAGGATCTCATGAACAGGATCCTCCAGCGTGATCCGTTCGACCTGCCCTACAAGGTTGGTGGAATTAACCTGACTAGCCTCCAAGGTCGCTTCGTGGGCGGCCTGGACATGCTCAGAAAAGTGATACAATTGATCAGATCTGAACGAGTTGTCCATCATCATATCATCAGGCTCCTGATGATGAAAAACCTGTTGAAGAAGCGTAACCGCCTGAACGGGCTGAGAGGACCCGGCGTCATGAGAAGTGGTGGTGGAAGGATTGGGCTTGGGATTCTTCTTGGCCTTCTTCCTCTTGCCCACTCCGCCGGAAACGAGGACTAGACTGTCATCCATGGGAGTATCTGGGTTGGGATCTGAAAAAATAATAAAGGCAAAAGTTAGCACCGAGCGATCTTGCCGCTAAGAAACTAAGGAGGAACGTTTCTCGCACGGGAAGGACCGCCGGCCCATGGCACTTGGTTCTCAAACAAGTAAATCCAAGAATACGGGCAGTACCTATCCCGGCTGTGACAAGCCGATCGGGAGTCAGATATTTCATGATATCACGTGATTTGTCCTCCTCTGCCGCAAAAACATCCTTGCAAATCTTCTCGGTAAGAAGCGGATCTGGAGATTTACAAGGGAAGGCATTCCACCTATTCGAGATGAGATCGTCCGGGATGAGCTCGGGATCACTTTCTCAGACTATCTGACATCCTTGCTTTGAGATTTCTATGTAATTCCCTCTTATGTCTTGTAATTTCGTTTATGGTAAGAACATCAAATCCAGTTGCTTACTTTGGGCAGAGAGTTTTTTTTCATTTTCTGTTGCGTTTTCTGCCCGAACTCAACAGTCGGGTTGGGAAACTGCATAACTATACTGTGGGTCATAGCCATGACCAGGGTGATGTGGACCGTAACCCCGGCCATGCTGCCCGCAGCGCCCACGTCCTCTCTTTTCGTGGCCACCCCGGCCGCGGTGTCCTCTCCCCCGCTGCGGCTGCCCTCCTGACTGAGGGTGTCACTAGTAAAAAAAATGGCTAATAGTGACATTTAATTAGTGTCACTAAACGATTTAGTGACACTCTGAAAGTGTCACAGTAAAGTGGGGCTAGTGACGCTAAATTTTGTGTCACCGTTAACAAATCACTTTGGTGTCACAAAATTATGACATATAAACATCATAGAGATCTGTGATATATACGTAAGAAGGATTTTTGTGATACCAATGCATCATTCTTTTTAGTGATATATACATACACTACTAGAAAAAAAGCCTTACAGTGATACCAAATTAGTGTCACTAAAAGTTTCTGTGACACTAAAAAAGTGTCAATGTACATGATTCATTAGTATATATATTTTTATATATATTTTATATTAGTATATATATTAATACAAATAAACCAAAACATTAATATTAACCAAAATCTCAAACATTTTATTTATATCTCAAGACTTCATATGAATGTACATGATTCATAGGGGCATACCCCGGAAATCATAAATGTAATTAAGTACAACTCAAAAACCAAAACACAAGTTACAATTATAGGACATAAAAAATCTTGAAGTGCCAAGCCCCGACAACGGCATTCTTATGGAAGTAATAATCAACAACACGTGCTCCCTTTTCTCCATTCACATCAACTTCTCACCTGTGATAACAATAACAAAATGCATGATTGGAGAAGTATTAAAAAAGATCACTTATCACCTTCGATAATAGAGAATTTAGTAAAAAAAGTACAATGCATGAGAGAGATAGAGAGTGAGAAAAAACAAATAACATATTGGAGAGAGTGTGTAAGAGATAATCAAATAACACTTATCATTTTATCATTTTATCAATGATACTAGATAATAACTTATCAAACTGAATCACAGGGACAAACAATACAAATAACTTATAGCAAGTGAAATACCAGCCAAAGATGAATGCCAATGTATATTTTGATGAGTACACAGACATACCCTGCCACCCGCATTTATAAACTCAATTTTCTTTCCTGCACAACATAAAAAGTACAAACATACGCAAACATAGCTTTAGTGCCTTCTTTAGATATCAAAAAAAGACGATTCGTTGTACCACTCTTAAGGTAATTAACATAATGGAATCATGCAGATATTTAAGTTGGAGTGTGATTCGTTTTATTTAAGTTGGATTTGCTCCAGTTTGTTTTAGTATGATATGGTCAAGTAAATACAGAGTATATAATTATATTTTATCTTTGTCAACTTTTGGTATGATTTGATTTGACCTCAACAAATTTAGTTAAATTTGATATGATTTAAGTTAAAATAAGACAAAAAATAGACGTTTTGAATTAACCAGAATTTAAGAAACTAAATTAGATCAACCATAAAATTTAATTTAAAGTAAAACCATATTTACTTTCCTACACAACAAATGTTTCCAGAGTAAATGTACAACACAAGTCATACAGATTTACAATGGGAGATTTGTCTTACTTGGGGTTTGAACCATCAACAGCACAGACCCAATCATCATGTAAGGAAGGTTCTTCTTCTCTTCTTGGGACCACCGCCTTAATGTATTCAATATCTAATATCTTCTCCTGCAATAAAAAATCCACTAATAATTAGCCCAACAGAGGATCTATAGATAGATGTTAGAACCTTTTGAAAATAAAAACTTACCTGCATAGTTAGCAATCAAAAACTACTGCCTTTAACCTAGTTCTAACATAAAAGTATGAAACTCAAACATATCACACCTTAGACAATTCTGCAGAATAAAGAGAAGCAAAGCTTGCAGCATCGCCCTATAGTGGCTTCAAAAAAACTGCAAATTAAAGTAAGTCATCTTCACTAAAAGCATGGAAGACAAAGCATACTCAACGTATTAGTCCAGTAAATTGATCGTAGCTCAAGCCGGAGATTTGAGTAAAAGAGAAAAGCGAGATCATAGAGGATAAAGCATACTCACGTATTAATGTAGAACTATACAATATCAATGCTCTACAGTAGGCCGATCACTTCACTGAACTGCCTTTAGGGAAAATAAAAGATACGAGTACATTAGAATTCAATAAAATTATATATAATGGCACAAATATTTTTCATATGAATCATTTGGGCAAATATAAGATCTTTTCGAATCAAAAGCAACTTAAAAGGGCATAAAATTAAGGTGACCAAATTAAACAATTGCAGCTGAAATATAAAAATATTTCTAGTAATGTTAAAGTAACTCACCCTTCAGTTTTACTTGAGAAGTAACAAATACAGAGTCAGGCTTCTAATTTAAGATTTTTATGCATAGTAGGCAAAAATGAATCCTACATGAGTACATGATAGTTATGAACCAATAAGCATTTGTGGCAAAAAAATTAAATTAGCCAGTAACTTGCAGCTTGAAACCTGGCTGAAAATACGTTTGGGAATATTTTGTCCAAAACTTCAAGAGCACATCGTGAGTTCCAACCGCAATATCCACGAAGCACTATGTCTGCCTTTTACATTTAATCAAAAGTGACTTACTAAACAGTGTGAGAGGCCCTAGTTTAAGCAACATAAAATCAGATTAACTGATTAAATCATCTTTATTCTTTACCAAACAGAGCCATTAACTTTGGTACACCGGAAGATATAAAGATTTAAGCTTTTATACTACTATATAAAACCTTGCAATGGGAGTGGTGAGGATCATTTTAATATGATTAAAAAATCTCATTGTTCAATCCAATAATTAATTACACTGATGAGCTAAAGGAGCTCAGAAATACCGGGAAGCCTTTTGTGAGTTTTGTCAAACGGCATAAGAGCTGTCGGTTGATATGTTCAATAACCCCATTGAAGAAGTGAAGAAAAAAACTAAACCCAGGAATTGAACAATCAAAGGTACCTTGCGAGCGTATATATCAGAGAGGATAGCACCCTAACCTTCCCGGCTGTAGAAGTTAATCTGGACCCAGGGCTTGTTCCGTTCGCGTCTCTGCAGCCGTCGCGCCTGGTTGCCGGAAGCTCTGCACCGCACTTGGAAATCCCCTGGCTGGTTCTAGACGGCTGAAGGTTGGACACGACGAGAAAGCTTCGTCCATGTAGGGTCACTGTAGCGGTGAAATCCCCATCACGAGTCCCTGAAATTGCAGCGACGGATTGTTCCCGTACACTTTCTATCGCAAGGATGATGATTCGGCACCGATTCGGCAGTAATCGATCGGTAGCCCCCTTGCCGTCATAGCCCCCTTGCTGTCATATCCCCCTCTCCTTTTGAGCAACGAGAATAGCTCACTCTTGCGTAGGAGTGCTAGGGTTCGAAAGAAATTTTAAGAGACAGATAAATTTTAGGTGTTAAATATGACAAAATAATGTTAAAAGAAAATAAAATAGGGTGTGAATGTCACTATCTGATATTGATATTATTGTGTCAGAAACTAATGACACATTTACATCGTAAAAAAGATATGTCGTATTTTCGTGACACTTTATTAAAAAATATCACTAACAAAGTGTCACTATAAGCCTGTTTTCTACTAGTGTGTGGTCTTGCAGCGTGTGCTTGGCTAGCAAAGGCTTGTGCCTGATGAGGTTCTTCCGGAGGAATGCATGTACTGAAGAGTTTGCTCCTTTTCAATCAAATTGGTGCGAATTTTTTAAAAAATGAAGCTCTCAGGAAACAAACCAACTGAGGTAATAAGAGACTCATTGTCCCTTCCCAAACCAAGTAAAATACATTGAAATAATTCTCGTGTAGAAACAGGAGCATTTATCGCAGTTAAATTATCAGCAATAATTTTAATGTCCCTAAGATAGCGCTCCATGGACTGATTAGGACCTTTCCTTAGAGTGTGACAACTTACGTTTCAATTCCATAGAGCGAGCAAGACTAGCAAACATAAAGTGGATTTCAAACGACCCCGAATACAGAGCCTGCCCCAGAAAATTCATCATGGGGGGGGGGGGGGGGGGGGGTAATTTGAACAAAAAAATAGGCGCTCATTATTATAAATTATAACTTTTATATAATAGTAATAAGATGAAGCATTAAAATAGTACATAATAGGCAAAAAATAAAAGAAGATACAAATATATTATTACAGAATAGTAAAGTTAATACCTTAAAATTCCTTAAAATTGTGCCCGACGCTCCTTCAACGAGATAAATTCCTCAATCACGGCTTTTGAGTCAAAAGTTTTAGCAATTTCTCTTTCAATATAAACAACAAGGTTGTCTGCAAGATACTCATCCTCCATTTTATTGTGAAGCCTTGTTTTTATAATTTTCATTGCTGAAAAAGCTCTTTCTGTTGTTGTTGTCGATACCGGTAGAGTCAACAAAAGTCGGACCAATCTATCAATAAGAAAGTACACTTTTGACATCTCCATCTCCGCTAATCCTTGACAAAGTTCAGCCATTGTAGACAAATTCGCCAACTTTGGATGATTTAGAACATTGAGCTTATAATGTTGCAATTGAAACCTCAAGCCCACCTTCTCCTGCTCAATAAAATCAAAGGGGTGATATTTATCCACTAAAGAACAGATATCATCAATGTTAAAGGACTTGTATGAGTCCTTAGGATCCAAAGCACCGCTTAGAGTAAGAAGATCCATTATCTGTTCACTGAATCTGCTATTCAGCTCCAACAATTGTGAATCTATGGTTGCGTAAAACATGTCAACCCAATTTGTAATGAATTTTTGTCCTATTTTATTATCACTAAAAAATTCAATTGATAAAATTGATTAACTAAGGACTAACCATCTAACTCTAACACTCTAAAAGGCTAAAAATTATAACACAAGTTAACACAATCATCTCAAAATAAGAGAGAAAAAGTCTAAAAAGTAAAAATGCTCTAACTGACCTGCGCCATAGCTGGAGCCTGGAGGCAGAGCCATAAAGAAGCACGGCGTGGACAGTGGACGGCGGAAGCACGGCGTGGACAGCAGAACAACTGGGCGTGACTGGTGGCTTCGCGAGTTGGCGTTCTCCGTTATCGGCTTCTCGCCTTCTTCAGTTCTTACTTCTTAGGCGATTAGGCGAATAGGCGGAAGAAGTAACCCTTGCGCTTTTCTTCGGCGTTCTCTTTTACCAGTTACGCTTTTGTTTCTTCTAGCCTTTTAGGTGCGCAGGCTTGTTTATGGGATAGGTGGGCTGGGCTCTTTTAGGGTGGGCTGAGAATAAATAATGGGATGGGTTGGGAATAAATTTTTGAGTAGGCTGATATAATATTATTTTCATATTTTCTATTTTTTAGGCTCTTAAGCAATTGAGTTTCTGCGAGTGGGCTATGTTTTGGGGGCGATTTGTTTTTTGGTGGGGTTCAAAAAAAAATTTGGAGGGGCGAAAATTATTCATTAAGGAGGGTAAAAATATTTTTCGCATATATATACACTAAAAAAAATTGTTGGGGGGGGGGTCGCCCCCCTGGGTCTGTACTATGGTCCGCCCCTGCCCAAATAGCAGAAGAGTTTTTTAATTCATGCATGACCCAGCTAAACTTGCAAGTATACAAGTGCTGATATAGTAATAAATTCCGGTAAAATACCGGGTCGAATCCACAAGGAAACATTGTTTAATTCAAGTCCGAGAGTAGATAACTTTAAATGAAGAAATGTGTAAAGTGCAGGGATTTTGATTTGTATTTTATATTTTTGGCTTTTCACTTTTTGTTTAAGAAGATAATCGTTTAACTAATTTTAAGTTTAAGAAGAATGATAACAACAACTAAGGCTTCGGGAATCACTTAAATGCTTTAATAGGGTTGAATATTAGTTCTTTGCCAATAATTATGAATACGATGTCGCTAATATATTCTCGACTACGGTTAAGGCAGCAAGAGCGTGGTTTTCGTTACGTGTAAGTCCCGTTACGGCTTACATTCATCTACCGAATACCCCGTTGAATATCAAGACATCACACCCGTATCATGTAAGACCGGATATATTTCTATTTTCGGTACTATATATGTTTATCCTTTAATGTTCATAGTTTAGACTTCAACGTTAATTGCAAGTATAAACTAAATTTAACATACTTCTATGTTGTACACCATAGTCATAAACAATCAATATATAAAGGATAAATCACAATTTATTGGTTTAGAACTTTTATCAAACACCTAATTGGCATAGAAGTTCATCCCTAGCCTTAGCTAAGAATTTAGCCTCTAATGCTCATATTAATTACAAAAGTGTAACTAAGAACAAATAAATACAATAACATACAAGAAAAATTACCTAGAACCAATTGTAGAGGAGAGAAATAGCTTCTTCTCCAAAGAACTTGAAGAAAAATAGCAAGAACAAAATATAAAAGCTATGAATTAATCTATGGAATGGAATGTATTTGTATGATGAATTGAGGGCTTTACATAGGCAAAGAAATGGCATATTTTGGTCTATTCGAGCCCAACAATTTGTCATGTAAGAAATATTTGATGAAATCATGAAGAAGGTGAAGTTTTCCCATCAAAAATATGCTTCACGTCTCTTTGTTTTTGCAGAATCAGGTCAACACGGCGCCAGCCTCAGGCCTACCCGGCGCCGGTTATATGTTATTTGCAGCGAGTATCTGAAAACCCGGGGGACCCGGCGCCGGGCCTAAGGCCTACCCGGCGCCGGGTAAGCTACTGGATAGCAATTTAATTGTGCGAAAGGATGGGCCGGCGCCGGCCATAAGGCCTACCTGGCGCCGGGTATGCCCAATTTTGCATTTCTTCGCTTTTCGCTCCGTTTTGATGCCCATTGTTGATCCCGAAGTGTGAGTTCTTGGTGTCTTTTCCCCGTTGACTCCCGTTTCTTCACTTTTGACGCCTAAGTGCGGCTTTGCTCAAATTGGATTTTTACCTGTTTTATCTTTGAATGTTTGTACAGATAATCAGCGTTACCTATATAAAATATAGGTAATTATTGTGCTTATCAAATCCCCCCACACTTGAGCGTTGCTAGTCCCCGAGCAATATTGTCACCTTCGGATGCCTTGGGTTAGTTTCAACAAAAATATATGCACAAGAATATTTTCAATTTCCAAGAGAGATGAAGAAAAATGTATATAACTCTTTTATTATTCTCGGTCCAAAAACCCCTTTTCTATTACACACACAAAAATATCATTAGATTTAGAAAACTTCTTATACTCTTGATAATAAAGGAGTGATTTGTGACTATGATGTTTTGGGTGAATGAGGTGGATGGTTTTGTGGTTTTGTTGACTTTTCAATTGTATGAATCAGTTGAACTTCCTAGCTGAGGTCATGAGTTAATTTTTTTTAACTCATTTGGAATGGGCTTCAACAAATATATACTGAAAGTCATTTTGATGATGGTAATTTATTTGATGAGATGTGAGAGTGAGTTTTGTATTCAAAAATGGTGCTTGGGTATTTGAGATGTATTTGACCATTTTTGAATTGAAGGAAAGATGTATTTGTAGTCACAAGAGTTCTTTTGGGACTATTTTTCAAGAGTAATAAGTAATCTAAAAAAATGAAAATTTTTGTTGTAAATAATAGAAAAAACTTTCTCAACCAAATACCCATTAAAAAAGAGAAATATGACAATTTTTCTATCCTCCTAAAAACAATTATTTTTGCACACAAAATTTGTTTTAACTACCCATGAAATGCACCCCCACACTTAAAATACATTGTCCCAATGTATAATGCACGATAAACAAGTACTCCACCAACATCCATAATAAAGTGTGTTTAGAGGAAAGTAATGTCATGAGAAACTAAAATAAGAGCAATGGGATTCAATGGTGTGGATCGGTAGAGGGATACCCATGTTGGGTGTAGTAGTAGTCGGTGAACCTCTCAAACTGCTCCTCAAATCTCTGGTGCCATGTTTCTTGCTCATCCATCCGCGTGTGCATTTGAGCCATGGAGTGCATCAAGTATGCCATTGGGGGATCGGTGGTGTGCGGCGGTTGTGGTGGCACCGGTGGCTCGGGGGCAGCTCCATCATCATGAGCATCCTCCACGGCTTCTTCGTGTTCCTCCTGCATTTCATCATCATCTCTCTTCAAGCCTATGCCGTCGGGGAAATACCACTTCCCGGAGTTGGATAATTTATGTTTGAGGGCGATCATGGTGTCTTTGTTCAAGACATTAGAATTGTTGGTATACACAACTTCTTCACCTTCAAAGTCTACCTGGAAGTGCCTAAAAATCTTTGTAAGTAAAAGAGGGTGACAAAAGTTTTTTGAACCTTGTTTGGAGAGCACCACACTTTTCATATTTTTGAGGAGGAGGCGGGGTAGCGGAATCCCTTCTATGTTTCCTAGTCCGAGTAGCATCTTTTGGAGAAGGTATAGATCAATCCTCCGGACTAAGTGGCGGTCACTAGCATGGGGGGACAATGTTAAACCCAATGAGATAGACCAATAGACGCGCATGGATGTGCCATAGATACTTGGTTTGTAGGCTCGTTTTTAGTCCAAAAAACAGCCGCGCCTCAGCCTCATTGTAGGTTTTGTCGCTGAGAATGCCACTTTGATTGTACTCCAAGGTAGGTCCTTCGTTGCTAACTTGGAGGATGCTTGAGAGAAGGTCCGGATCAACTTTGATGCTTCTCCCTTTTACCGTTGTTTGGATTTCCGCGTAGCCGGTTTCTTTGTCCGCGATGTTAGCATAAAACTCCCGGACCAACCGGGGGTAGTATGCTCCTGTCAATGTAAGCATCATGGCCCATCCAAACCGGGCAAACACTTCACTGAGCTTGAAAATGGTATTAATCTCTGGATGCACAGCTTTTTCCTCCACAGTTTTCCACTTCTTCCTCTCCTCATACCATTTCTCGTTTTCACGGGTAGTGAAACGAGTATTGGAACATGAGGAGGATGCACCAGCACTTTGTTTTTGTTTAGGAGGCATCCCTGCAAGGTTAGAAGAGAAAACACAAACACACACCAAAAACTTCATCAATTCAAGGCATTTTTCTTAAAATTTTCATGAATTTTCCAAAAATTTCAAAATTAATCACAAATTGATGCAACAATTAGGTTTAGAATGTTTATTTATCAACACAAAGTATTTCAATATCATTCTAATCATCAATTGTTGCAAGAATTTGAAAATTAATCAAGAAATTCGGACCTAGGGTTCAAATGAAAAATTTTCAAGAGTTTCCCCCAATTCTCAACTTTAATCTCAAATTTTTGGCAAGAAGAATGTTGACATTCATCAAATAATCATAAGGGATCAACTTTCCACAATCATAAGCGTGCATTTCACCAAAAATTTACAAAAGAAGGAGGAATTTCGAAAATGGAGAAAACTTGGGGGTTTAGCCTTTTTACCTCGAATTGTGAAGGAGAAGCTCTTGAGAGATGATATGGAGCCTTGAGTTAATTTTTAGGGATGAATTTGAGCCTTAAGATGTGTTGTTGGTGGAGCTAGTTCGAGTTTAGGAGTTGTGTTCGAGGTTGGGTTTGTGTTTTGTTCGCGTGAGAGACGACGAGCGGCTGCATTTGGTTTTAAAACAGGTGACCCGGTGCCGGGTAGGTCATGGTCCCGGTGCCGGGTAAGCTACTGCCTCACTCGTTCTCTTCGATTTTGAGGATACCCGGCGCCAGCTGGTCAGTAGACCGGCGCCGGTCTGCACCTTTTTTTTTAATTCAATTATAAATAAACAATAAAAAATTTGTACATATTTATTTATAATTGAAATTTTGATGTTGGGTTGTCTGCAAATTAGCGCTTAGTTTAATGTCATAGGCCGGACGCAACATACATTTTATTCCTCCAAAGGGCAAGCGGTGGTTGCCGAGGTGATATGATACTCCATGTATGGTTTGAGTCGGTGACCATTTACAAGAAAAGGTGTTTGGTCACCTTGTTGAATCATTATTGATCCGTATGGTCGGACCTCGGTGATTGTGAAAGGTCCCGACCATTGGAATTTGAGTTTTCTGGGGAATAGGCGAAGTCTGGAGTTGAAAAGTAGTACCTTTTGCACAACGTAGAAATCCCTCATGTTGATGTTCTTGTCATGCCATGCTTTGGCCTTTTCCTTGTAGATGCGGGAGTTCTCATATGCATCCCTTCGAAGCTCTTCTAGCTCATTGATTTGGAGCATCCTTTTTTCTCTCCCAAGTGTGGTGTC